TTCCAAGTTTTCAAAAACTCTGTCTGTTTCTAATGTTGGTTTTGTTTGTCTTGCGGATCTTCATCAGCCACCCAAAAACTTTCGTCAATCTTTCTTCCCTGGAAAAGATTTAAAGAATCTTCTAGAACTTCCAATTCACAAGCGCAAGGCTCCCCTGTTACTAAACTTTATTCCGACATACAAATCCACATTGCCCGACGTCCCGAAGAAAAATAAGAAGAGCCTCTCTCAACCTACTGCCACAACTATAACCGCTTCTTCATCCCGAACAGATCAAGAGTCCACATCTGACCCAATCAATCAACCATCCACTTCGGCCCCATACTTGATCCCAATACCAAAAAGAAAACGCCGGCGACGCCTTGTTAAAACTGCCAAAATGGGTCGTGCAAAGCCAATTGCCCAAAATCTCCTTGCCGACACTCCTGACTGATGCTGACGCTGTACCATCCCAACCAATGCCCCCACCGAAGCCAAAAGAATCAAGAAGGCCCAGCCTAAGGCCAAGACTGTTGAGGCTGAGGATATGTAGACGTCCCCGAACGCCCCGGGAGGAACGAGCTCCCGTTCTGTTCATTTGGGGTCACTACAGCTCAGGACTCTCAAATTTGTCACGGTTCTAAGTCTGAACCAAAGAGTCCAAATCCGGCAAATCGTTTTGAGAAAACTAATTTTTGAAAGAAGTGCCAAACATGGACTGCTTTGCCAGATACAGAGTCGCCACCTAAATATTTTTTAATGGGAAATTTAGGAAACCCTGACTCGGTGCCAAAGGCCACGTGTCCGTCATCACCAAAGTTGCCTCGGCTCGGGAACTTGGGTACGATTGGGGAAGGTCACTTCGTGAGCACCCTCGCTCGCCCGATCGAAGATCGGCCTCTACTAACCATGATATCTAGTTTTGAAAACTTTGTGTGTTCTTATTCCGGTTATTAGCCTAGGTTACTATGTGTTGCACACAGCATACAAGTATAGACTGGATCGCCTGAATTGGAACAAAACATTTCGTGTTTGCTTTTTTTGAAAATGGTTTGCTACCCGCAGGTAGGCTTGAAATGCAGATTTTGCCACCCGCAAGTGGGCTTAGAAAAGATGGTTTTGCCACTATCTAGTGGGCTTTAAAACAAATAGTTGATGAATTGTTCCAATCCAAATAACCCAACCTCCACCCACAGGCATTCAGGCAAATATATCACATAAGCAAATAGCCTCATGGTAAGTATGTTATTCATGGCAGTCACTCACACGCATGCAAGGATGCTAAAGCATAAAGCTCACCGGGTACTCCAAGCCAAAACAAAAACTCATTAGAAATCATGCATGAATCCTAAGTATACAGAAATGTCTAATGCAACACATGCAAAAATGCAAACCATAGCAGACTCAGCTATTCTAAACATGGCACATGGAATGCTACAGCTAACATGTATTCAACTTTGGAATTAAAAGTACAATGCAGTTAGTATGATGCGCCGAGCCCGGTGCATGCAATACAGATGAATGATGCAAACATGCTGTCATACTGTATGCTAATTGAAATATGCCATAATCTAACCATCATAAGCAGGTAAATAAAAGGGAGAAAGACGTGGGGTTGGAAGACATACAACACACACACGCACACTTATTACAGTTATGCCCTCGCACAGAGGGTCCGAATAAATAATACAGTCCCGAATGAAAGAATATTACAGTCCAAATATTACAGTCCGAATATTATACAAATTCCTAATTAATTAATCAAATTAACTAACAAAGCTGTAAAACTGGCGTGCAAGCCAGGGACTGCCTTGCTTCTGATGTGTGATGCATGTCCGGGCTGCCTTGCGCGGAAATCCACTGGGATGCCCCAATTAGCCTCTGTTTAGCAGTTATTCTTGAAACGCGTGCCAAGTCCCGAAAAGTTGCTGATTCTTCATTTTGCTGCAACAGAGAGCAGGAAAGGGGCACAGCAATGTATTTTCACAGATATATGCATGCCTCGATCCTCGGGCCACCAATCACGCATACCGAGGCATGA